GTGAATGATGTCCCAGCTGTAAGAGACCACAAGTGGGCTCTTGAAAAGACAGCTGAGAAACTAGTCCAAGTCCTCAGCAGAAATCTCATAAATGGGTTATTTTAACAGGACCGAGCCTTGTCATCATATTTCCCTTCAAGAAAGAAGCGATTTGGGGTTGCTTAAGCAATGGCAGGTACATAGGAAAACCCAACACATTCTTGCCTTCAAATATTCAGGAACAAGTTGGACACTTTAGCATGTTTCATCACAAATCAACCTTTGGTGGCTCTTCAGTGAGTATGTGTTTCTCCTGTTATGAAATACACTATCAAGAGGCAAATGTATAGCAAATTACTCCCACATCGATAAAGCTGGTCTACAAAATGGACAATAATATACAGAAGTATTATCACAGCTTCTCTCCAACCTCAAAAAGACTCAAAAACACCAACCCCACTCCCATCCAAATGGCGACTTTGGCAGGGAAATAATCGTTCTCCCCACTGTTCTCTTCAGAGCACTCTTTGTCTCCTTGTTCCTCAGACTGTAGATGAAAGGGTTCAACATTGGGGTCACCGTGGTGTAAAAGACAGAAACTATTTTGTCCCTGCCCACGTTGTAGCTGGAGCTGGGCCGTAGGTACATGAAGATAAGGGTCCCATAGAAGATGGTGACAGCCACTAGGTGGGATGCACAGGTACCAAAAGCTTTGCCCAGCACAGAGCCTGTCCTCATGACGGCGAAGAGGATGTGGCCATAGGAGATGAGGATGACTGATATTGTGGTGACCTCACTGAAGTCCCCAAAAGCAAACAGCAACACTTGGTTGAGGGAAGTATCAGAGCAAGCCAACTTTGAGAGTGGTGGCCCATCGCAGAAGAAGTGGTCAATGACATTGGGGCCACAGAAAGACACCCTCAATGCAAAGCCTGTGAAGACGGCTGAATTAAAAAGCCCAACTGCATAGGACCCAGCTAAGAGGGAAACACAGACCTTCTTGGACATGAGGATGGGGTAACGCAAGGGGTTGCAGATGGCAACATAGCTGTCATACGCCATCCCAGCCAGGAGGTAGCACTCTGTGATTGCAAAAGCAGCATAAAAATAGAGCTGCAGGAAGCAGCCAGCAAAAGAAATAGTCTTCCTTTCAGACAAGAGGTTCAGCAGCATTTTGGGTGTCACCACGGAGGAGTAGCACAGGTCCAAGAAGGACAAGTGGCTGAGGAAGAAGTACATGGGGCTCTGAAGCTGGGAATCGAGCCAGACTGCAGCAACGATGCCAAGGTTTCCTATCACGGTGGTGACATAAATGAGCAGGAAAAGCACAAAGAGTGTAACCTGGAAGTCGAGGCAATCTGTGAACCCCTTGAAAACAAACTCTGTCACCGTAGTCCAGTTTTCCCAGGCCATCAGTGTCCAAGAGGCTCCCAGTTCCCAGGCAGCAGGGTGGTTTCTGTGGCTTGGTTATGATGGCTTAATCCCTTGCTGAACTATTAGTGGGGTTTAAGCCTGTACTCTGTAGATAATGAAGACATTCTCTAATGAAACACAGCCAGGCACCTTGGCAGGATGCTTAGGTGGTCCACAACCACCTGCCCATGCAGGGAGTCACTGCTATTGACTACTGGTATGTGCCTACCTCTTATTCCTTTCTCCAAGGAAATCATTCAAAGACAGAACCTACACCTTATCATTGCTTAGGGGAACTAGAAAGGCCACAATGCAGACAAATAGAGCATATCCTATTGAAATTGTCTATGCTGATCTCTTAAATAGGATAAAATACATCCCCAAAAAGGATTGTGTCAGGAGAGGGGGTAAATACATAAGATATTAGGCATTTCTTATGTACATGTTTATATTTGTCCCTGTATAACCATTACCACTAAGCAAGGAGATGTTTGCAAAGAGAAAAGGCAATTTAAGCTCCTGTGACAATCACTGCTACATTCCTTCGGCATTGCCTCTAAGCAGATCTTCCTTGCCCATTTGCATGACTATTACACAGAAACATCTCTGTCTTGATAGTATTTTTCCACCTCCCAGCTTGCTTTATATACCAGAGCTTCAGAGAAGAAAATTTGTGATTCTATGATGCTGTGCTTCACCATTCCATGAAATCCTCCAAGTCTCCATTCCTTCCCTGTTTAGTTCTACATGGTGTTGCCTGTCCATGTATGGCTGTGTCTCCCAGAGGCTCCTGTCTTCACTATTTATTGCTTTCCAGCTTAGATGGTTGACATAAGCTGCCAGCAGTCCCATTGGGCACATCACCCCATACCAGTCTTGTTTTCTCCCCCCTTTAAATATAATTGGAAAGTTGCCTAAGGGACTTCACAAGTCAGGCATCTGGAGCTATTACTGCCTCAACCCCTGAGATGGGCTGTCTTCTGGGAGCCAGAATGCACTGAAATCAGAAATTGCTGTGAGGTTATTGACAAAGAGCATCTCTTAGTGATGACATCTCAGCACCTTGTAACTACAGAAACCCTCAAGCTGGACAGCTTTATGAGCTTTTACTAAGACTGGGAACCCATTACCAAACCACAGTGTTACTCACCTACTCAAAAACATTATTCTACAATTATATTTGGAAAATGGAGGTGATACTAATGACTGGAGAATAACACTCGAGTGTAAAGTTCAATTGATCACTCTAATTCCCTCACTGAATAGACTATCTCCTCTTGTGCCCATGCAGGGATATGGTCTGGATGGAGAGGGACTGCCAGAGCAGTGAGCAGCGGCTGGGCTGTTGGGGACAGAGGGTAATGTGTTCTACTCTGCAGGAACATGGGGAGTGCCATAGGGGGTTTGTCTCTTCAATCTATCAAAATTGAACCAAAGGAGAACACCACTGTGTGCAGGGACCATCCCACGGTACCTGAGCAAGAGAAACAGAGCAGGAACAGAGACCTAGGCCAAGTTCAGCCAAGATTCCAGAGCATCAAGCAAGTTAGGGACTATGAGGCAGGTCCAAAACCAAGCCAACACAGGTCAAGTCAATCCCCTGGTCAGGTTTAGGTCCAGCAATTGCTAGGAAAGTCCATAAGAAACCTCAGATCACCCTCAAAGTATTCCATAGATGTGCACAACTCCTGCTAAAATGGAAACAAAAACTCAAATATAGTCCAACCACCTTGGGCTGAGCTTAAACAGAGATGGGGGCAAATGGGCCGAGGGTGGGAGTGGAGCCCCAGCTGAGTCTGCTCAGGGGGATAAAGGCCTATTAGCTCACCCTGGGACAATTCATCACTGCCTCAAATGCCCATTTCTCACCCTTGAATACAGTGGAAGCCCTAAAGCACCAGCTCAGGTGTTGGACATTCAGGCACTACATGTGGATAATCCCACAGAGGATGGAAAATTGGGCACTCAAGTGTGCAGAGGGGCAGCAGCAGCTCCATAGATGGAGTCACTTGTACTTCACGTTGCATTTAGGGACCCTCTGCAAGATCTGAAATGTCTCTAAACCCATTCTCATTCTGTTGACAAGGTCAAACTGAAAACTTTGTATGGTCCACAGGTATGTCAGAAGCATCCTATGAGCTGCTGATCACTGCTGCTGTGTAGCTGCGCTCAGGAATGACTCATCCACATCATGTCTCAGATGCCCAAGCACCACAATGCCTTTCAGATGTGATTTCACACCCTTTGCTTTTCCTTTTCTTTGTTTTCCTCTGGTAAAGCATGAGCAGCCCTGGAGGCTTCCTCCCAGGAGAGCACATGCAACTGTATTTACAGCCCCAGCACCACAAGCTGGGCTCTTGGAGTCTGGCAGGAGCTCACCTCTCCTCACATCAGGTGCTTAACAGAGCTGATGCTGGCACACAGATGTTCTCTGCTGCTTTGGGGATTAACCCGTGGCTCCCATCACTCGGTGGCAGAAGGAAGTCACAGGAGGTAATGCCAACACAAAGCAGAGCCTCACCTTCATTGAAGCAGTGGTATTTCTTCTTCATGTCCTCATGTCCTCTTTGGGAAAGCTACATCAGAAATCAACCTTACCAGTGTGTTTTTTCTTTATAATTAGAGGGAGCAATGGTGAATGCAGGTTGTTTTCTTTCACATATGCAGCAAAAGAAACATGCACCAATTTATTCAAGAGTTAAATGAGGATGAATCTTATTTTGTTATAAAGAAATGCAACATTGCAGATTGTCAGCAGAATATAGTCACTAACAAATAAGTACATTGTAACATCAACTCCTTTTCAATGCAAGCAGCTTAATGCTCATAGGTTTAGGATGCTTCAGTGTGCTGGAGCTCAGAAAGGTATAAATCATGTGAATTTTATCTGTTACGAATAATCTCAAATAGTTTAATAAATGTGATTTGGTGACTGGAATGATAACTAAAAGCCAAGGGAAAATGTGTGCAGTTTATTCATGTGTAAGATGGATTTCACTAGGACTGGGACTTTCTTTCCCCCGGATCACATGCGCTACTATGAGGTTTTCAGGTGTCTTCTGACCAAATTAACTCTGAATACTGAAAAGTGAAAGTGAAGAAAGATCTGATTCTTTTCTTTAATCTGAAAACACATGTGCTTGAATAAATTCATAGTTTTAAGAGTCCTAGCACTGAAAATAGCATTTGTGCCTTGAATGCAGTCCATGTTCTTTTCAAGATACCTCAGTTGAATAACATAAAATATATATAATTTGGGTTAGTTAATATAGTAGTATATACAGTAATGTGGCAGTTAAACTGGTCATTGTTTGGATTAAAATATGGTCCAAAAGTGCCTAAATAAATCCATCGTTTTAAGTGTTAGAGCATAGAAAACCAAAAATGCCATTTGTTACTTCAGTGTGCTTCCTGTTCTCTTATAAATACACTAACTGAAAACCAAAAACCGTACGATTTTGGGTTAAAAATATAGTACAGTATATGAATTCAACCAAAATGTGGCACTTACAGTGGTGATTGACTGTAGTTAAACATGGTCCAAAAATGAATCTCCGTTTTTAAAAAAATGTTTCTCTTCCTTTTGCCTCAGCAGGTAACACCAGATCATGGGAGGAAATCAAACCCAGATTAAATTCATCCTTTCAGGAATTACAGACAGCCCGGGTGCTCAGATCCCTCTGTTCGTGTTGTTTCTGCTGAATTACATTGTCATTTTGGTGGGGAACTTCGGCATTATCATCTTGGTTCGGGTGTCTTCCAGCCTCCAGACCCCCATGTACTTCTTCCTCTCCCATTTTGCCTTCACTGACATCTGCTATTCCACAGTCATCTCCCCCAGGATGCTGGCAGACCTGTTATCAGAGGACAAAACCATTTCTTTTACCGGCTGCATGATGCAGTCTCAAAGCTTTACACACTTTGCTGTTATTGAGTGTCACCTGCTGGCCACGATGGCCTACGATCGGCACGTTGCTATCTGCCAGCCCCTGCTTTACGTGACCATCATCTCCAGACGCGTCTGCTGGCAGCTGGTAGCATCATCCTACGCATTTGCCTTCCTCAGTGCCATCATCTGCACATGGTGCACGTTTGGAGGTTCCTTCTGTGGTCCCAACCGCATTGACCACTTCTTCTGTGACGTTGTTCCTGTGCTAAAGCTCGTGTGCTCTGACACACACAGCAGTGAGATGGTCATCTTTGCCTTCGTCACCATCAACGTAGTGGGTACGAGCGTTATCATTTTGCTCTCCTACATCTCTATCATCCGCAACGTGCTGAGGGTGTGCTCAGCACAGAGCAGGGCCAGAGCCTTCCATACCTGCACCTCCCATTTGATGGCTGTTGCCTTGTTATATGGGTCAGCATTCTTCATGTACCTACAACCTCCATCTAGCCACAGGAGCCTGGATAAGGTGGCTTCCATCCTCTATGCTGTGGTCAACCCCATGCTTAACCCATTTATCTACAGCCTGAGGAATAAGGAGGTGAAGGAGGCTCTGATCAAGTGCAGGAGAAGGTTCTTCAACCACTGGCAACACAGAAGAGTTGTATTATCCAGGACATGAAGATTTCATGTCAAGTGAGAAAGCTTATGGGGCACTGAAACAATGGGATTTCCCACTAATCCTCATGACTTTATGTAGGTTCTTACACTGTCCCTACACAAAAGCCAATGACAGTATTGGATGAGAAAGAGACTCCCCCAAATCACATCTGCATTGGAAGGAACCCAAGAGGAACAGCAACCTCAAACTTCATTACATTTTGCTGTTATCCTCCTCTAGGAAGAATTTACCCTCAATTATTCCAGGCCTCTTCTCACAGGAAATACCAATCAGCTTTACTTGGTTATAACTTTTGTCACTGATAATATCTTTTTTTTTTTTTTTTGCAAGATTTTTGACCTTGTCCTTCAGCTCTAATAAAATTCCTCACTCTTACCTGTGAGCTCTTTATTAAAGCTGCTGGGGTGGGAGGGAAGAGGAAGTGTAGTTTTACATTTGCTTGCTGAAAAAGAGTCAGAGAAAAGGTTACAAAAGATTCATTGCATTTGTTTGTGCCTTTCAAAGAGAAGAAGCTGGTGGGAATCAAGGTCTCAAGCTGCACCTTTGAATATGAAGAGGAATCCCTCCCCAGGCTGCAGCTTCACAAGAGATGAGGTCTTGGGTGATCTGATTTAGTGTAAGGTGTCCCTGCCCACGGCAGGGGGGTTGGAACTAGATGATCTTAAGGTCCTTTCCAACCCTAATTATTTTATGATTCTATAAAGGAAGAAATCGTAGATTTAATTAATACATTGTAACTAATGTCAATATAATTAATTACTATGTTTCATTAATGTTAATATAATATATAATAAAGAGTGAACTGTTCTGAGACCACCCAGTGTTAAGGACATTCTGGGCACATCAGGGAGTCCTTCAATTCATCTTAAGTGCCCTATACTTAAATGGTGAGATAAATGGAATTCCAGCTGGAGATAAGTACCCACATCCCATGTCCATGCCCAGCTCATGATAAAGTACACCACGGAACACAAATGGTGTATTTTACTGACAAATGAAACCTGCGGCTTGTTTCCATAGATGAAAGGCAATCTTGAGCACAGAATTCCTGGTAACTGAGAACTGTCTGGGTCTGAGAAAAGCCAAAACACACAGATGGGGGATAACAGCTTTCCTTTACCTGTTGAGTGGGAATTAACTTGTATTTGATAAGTGTATGGATGGTGAACAGTCTCTTTTGTTTGCTCTGCCAAACCACAGCAAGAGAGGAGATGTTGTCTGAGGTCTCAGGGAAAAGTGGTTTCTACCTGTGTCCACTGATGGAGACAGCAGAAATGCAATTAAATGTTGAAGAACTTAAGGTGTCAGAGACTTTTAATATCAAAGAGCTTCCTTGAAAACCTTCACCATAACTTCTTTTCCTCCTTCTAGTTAGTTGGATGTCTTTGCTTACACTGTACACATAAAATCATAGAGGCACAGAAAGCCCAAGCTGGACCTCAAAAGATCATCTGGTTCAAGCTTTTGTGGGAAAGGGAGTCTAGATGAGAAGCGTGATGTGTAGGGCTCACCACTGCTTGATGAATTACCCCACTCTGGTGTCCTTATTTCCTGTTCGGTTTAACAAATTTTCCAAAGCAGAGACAACTGAAATGCTCAAAGGTTTACCGACACTTGATGCCATGCTCCTGAGAGAGCTCTGGTTTGCCATAGTCTTATGTGTGGTGGATCCAACTCAGTGAACTGGCAATAGGAACCTAAGTCTAATGTACAGGGGAGGCAGAACTCTGAATTCCAGCAACACAAGAAACAGGCTGGAGGTTTTGGAAATACATTTTACACCGAGACAATCATTGCATGATTCTGCTTCAATCTTTGCAGAGAAATGATCTACAAAATGCAGAGATTCCCGGGGGTGGACACAAACTTCCCACACCACATACATAAAAGTGGTCCTCTCCATAAAAGTCTCACATCACACTTGGTAAAGGAGAAAGCACCAAGGACAAGAGAATAATATATGAACTTGATTACTCAACTTCCCTAACACAGAAGAATAGCTCCAAATTTGCCCATTTAAGTACATAATCTAGAGAGAGAGGGAATGCCAGAACAGTGAGCCCTGGCCGAGCTGTTGAGAGCAGTGTGCTGGGTTCTGCTCTGCAGGAGCATGAGGAATGCCACAGGAGTGTCTTTCTTTAATCTCTTTAAGTAGAGCCAAAAAGGAACACCGTGGTGCACAGCGAGCATCCCACAGTACCTGAGCCAGAGAAGTAGGACAGGAACAGAGACCTGGGCCAAGTTCAGCCAAGACTCCAATCATCAGGCAGGTTGGTGATGATACGGAAGACACAGGTCCAGGACTAAGCCAAAGAATGTCAGATCAAGCCAAGTCAATCCCCTGAACAGGGTGAGGTCCAGCAATTGCTAGGAAGATACATGAGCAAGCTTTGGTCACCATCAAAGGATTCCATAGATGTGCACAACTCCTGCTAAAATGGAAACAAAAACTCAAACATAACCCAACTTCCCTGGGCTGAGTTAAAATAGAGATGGTGGGCAAATGGGTGGAGGGTGGGGACGGAGCCCCAGCTGTGGCTGCTCAGGGGGATAAAGGCCTATTAGTTCACCCTGGGACAATTCATCCTTGCCTCAAATACCCATTTCTCATCCTTCAATAGAGTGGAAGCCCCAAAGCATCAGCTCAGCTGTTGGCCATCCAGGCTCTACAAGTGGATAAGCCCACTGGGGATGGAAAACTGGGCTTGCCAGTGTCCAAGGAGGAACATCAGCAGCTCCAGAGAAGGAGTCACTTGTGCTTCCTGTCCCATTTGGGGATCCTGTGCAAGATCAGAAATGGCTCTAAACCATTTTCATTCTGTTGCCAATGACAGACAGAAAGTTTGGCATAGTCCATAAGTATGTCAGAAGCATCCTATGAGCTGCTCATCACTGCTGCTGCTGTGTAGCTGTGCTCTGGTTTGGCTCATCCACGCCATGTCTCTCAGATGCCCAAGCACCACAATGCCTTTCAGAGGTGATTTCACACCCTTTGTTTTGTTTTCCTCTGGTAAATCATGAGCAGCCCTGGAGGCTTCCTCCCAGCAGAGCACATGCAACTGTATTTACAGCCCCAGCACCACAAGCTGGGCTCTTGGAGTCTGGCAGGAGCTCACCTCTCTTCACATCAGGTGCTTAACAGAGCTGATGCCGGCACGTAGGCGTTCTCTGCTGCGTTGGGGACTAACCTGTGGCTCCCATTACTCGGTGGCAGAAGGAAGTCACAGGATGTAACACCAACACAAAGCAGAGTCTCACCTGCATTGAGGCAGTGGGCTTGCTTCTGCATGTCCTTGGGTTGCCTTTGGGAAAGCTGCATTGGAAAACAGCCTTACCAATGCGGGTTTTCTTTATAATAAGAGGGAGCATTGGCTTATGCAGGTTGTTTTCTTTTACATAGGCAGCTAAAGCAAGATGAACTGAATTACTCAAGAGTTAAATGAGGATGAATCTTATTTTGTCATAAAGAAATGCAGCATTTCAGGTTGTCAACAGAATATGGTCACTAACAAATCAGCCTTTGGATTCAGCCTCTTATAACACCAACTCTTTTCTAAGGCAAGCAACATAATGCCCATAGGTTGAGGGTGCTTCAGCATGCTGGAACTCAGAAAGGTAGAAATCATGACTTTAGCGATGTGAATTTTATCCTTTTTGAATTATAGATAACACTTCGATATATGCGATTTTAAGACTGGCATTAGAATTAAAAGCCAAGGGAAAATATCTGGAGGTCATTAATGTGTAAGCTACAATTTCAATGGGAATGTGACTTTCTCTTGCTCAAGGTTTACTTGAGCTCCTATGAGTTTCCTCTAAGCTGTCTTCTGACACAAACTGCCTCCAATCTGAAAGTGAATAAAGATCTGATTCTTCACTCAAACCTGAAAAATCAGGTGCTTGAATAAATCCATAGTTTATGTTTCTCAGCATAGAAGAACAAAAATGGCATTTTTTGCTTCATCGCACTCTCTGTTTTTTTCTAAGTACCTCAAATGAAGAACAAAATCATATAATTTGGGTTTACAAAATACAATACAAAACACCAAAATGCCAAAGCATGGCTGTTAAACTGGTGATCGATTGTAGTTAAGTATGGTCCAAAAGTGAATTTCTGTTTGCAATGATTTTGATGTTTTCCTTCCTTTTGCCTTGGTAGGTAACACCTGGTCATGAGAGGAAATCACACGCAGACTAAATTTGTCTTCTTGGGAATTACAGACAGACCATGTGCGCAGACCCCTCCTTTTGTCTTGTTTCTCCTGATTTACGTTGTCGCTTTGGAGGGGAACTTTGGCATTATCATCTTGGTTCGGGTGTCTCCCAGCCTCCATACCCCCATATACTTCTTCCTCTCCCATTTTGCCTTCACTGACATCTGCTGTTCTACAGTCATCTGCCCCAGGATGCTGGCAGACCTGTTATCAGAGGACAAAACCATTTCTTTCACTGCCTGCATGATGCAGTTCCTCACCTTTGCATTCTTTGCTGCCATTGAGTGTCACCTGCTGGCCATGATGGCCTACGATCGGCACATTGCTATCTGCCACCCCCTGCTTTATGTGACCTTCATCTCCAGAGGCGTCTGCTGGCAGCTGGTAGCATCATCCTACCTATTTGCCTTTCTCGGTGCCATCATCTGCACATGGTGCGTGGTTGGAGGTTCTTTCTGTGGTCCCAACCACATTGACCACTTCTTCTGTGACGATGTTCCTGTGCTAAAGCTCGTGTGCTCTGACACGCACAGCACTGAGATGATCCGTCTTTTACACCGTGGTCACCCCAACGCTAAACCCATTCATCTACACCCTGAGGATCAAGGAGGTGAAGTGCCCTCTGCTGAAGTGCAGGAGGAGGTTGTTCAACCACTGGCAACATGCAAGACTTGTATCATGCAGGACATGAATACATCAAATGAGAACGCCTAAACTAATGGGATTTTCCACTAATCCTCATGACTTTATGTAAGTTCTTTCACAGTTCCTGCACAACAGTCAATG